TATATATATAGCATACTTTTCTGAAGCTAGCTGCATATTGTGAAATCACAAAGGTAATAATTAATTTTTATGTATAACAGCTTTTTCTCTTTTTGTTAGCTGTTCACCTATTTTAATTTTTTTTCCAACAAGATCACTGACATTCAGACAAGAGTAGCTGAAATAAAAGTTGTTGGACTGAAAATGATTTTAACCAAGAGCTTACAGCAAGTCTAGACATGAACGGAAATAAATTCTAATGCATGCATGTCGGTGATGAACTCACTGGGTTTTGTGTAGATGACATATCCAAAGAGGAAGAAGACGATAGCTAAGGTGACCAGAGCGGCCCACCAGGTGAACAGAAACATGAGAACTATTGAGATCACTGTTGCATATAGAGATATCCATTTGTTGTAGTAGCGAAACACTGGCCTCCACCCTGAAAGAAACAATTTCTCTTATGAAAAATTTTGGTCCTGCATGTAAATGTTTTCAGTTTATGTTTAGGAGATACATGGGGTTTTATTGGTTGAACAGATGATGAATAAAACAACAAATGGGCAATTGATAAAGTATGTAACTCACCAGGGGAATTTGTGATAGAAGCGTGAAAGCAACTGAAATTTATAAGGCCGTAGGAGCACAGGAAGAAGTTGGAGATCAGGGCGGCAATGGTATTCAAATCCGCTGTGATGAGAACCAGAAGAACAAAGAAATAAACAGAAAAATTAATATGAAATAAAAAAATATATATAATATACAATAAATTCATGAAAATTCATAAAATTTGTAAAAATAAATATCTAAATATTGTAATATTTGCAAAAATGGTGTTGAACACACCAATAATAATGAAGACCATGGCAATGAGGTAGCAGAGAAGATACGCTCGGAGGGGCTCATGATTTTTTCCATAACCTTTGGCAAAGAAAAAAATGTACGGGTATATCTGATCCTTGCACAAACACTAAAAAATACAAAAAAATCACAAGTTAGAAGCAATGTTACACATCAATATTTCATTCACTTGTTATTGTTTGTTTGGTAAATAATGTGAAAAGAGTATTCCTCCAAATAATGCAAATATGTTCAATGATCCTGAATCTTATTCCTAACATTGGCTATGCTTATTTTACTAATACAAAGCATCTGATTCAAAGTTCACTTTAAATATAAAACAAGTTGTTACTGTGGTGTCTCACCTGAAAGATTTTTGGTGCAGAAACCAGGAATCCAAGAGCAGAGGACAAGCTGGCTGAAAAAATACCAGGATGGATGAGGTAGTAGTAACCAGAAAGATGCCCCATCACCTGGTTGGAATATTTATTGTGCAGATTTTACCAAATTCATCTGATGTCATTGTTGAAGGGATTTTTTTGTATTATACAACAGTTTTATGATCAAACAATTTAAATAACATTTTTTTAGAAAGCACAATTTAAGATCTTGCATAATGACTGTAGAAAGAAAATGTATCCCTACATTCACATTGTTGGCCAGCCCATAATTGCAGGCCTGGGACTCGACACATTGTGTGAAGTTCCAGCCCAGTTTACATGCCACTCCCACACAACCATCAGTGCTGTTTCCAGTGATGATGTCACTTATATTCCCTGAAGCATCACGTACCACACATGAACCTGGAAGAAAAGCAAGATTCCTAGTTAAGCAGAAGAAAATACCAGGGGCCTCATACATGAATGGTGAAAAAAAAGGTTGTGTGGACCAGATTCCATGCATTTGTCACAAAGAATCAAAATCAAACATTGCGTGAAATGGTGACTAAAAATACTCAAAGATTTCACCTGCTGTGACAATGTGCTTCCTTCCCAAAATATGACTCTGTTATGGCAATATTTATTTAACAAAGACAGAAATACGTGGTCCAAGAATGAAGGTACTCCGTGAGATGATCAGCTGAGTTTTATTGCAACAACAGGAAACACAGAGAAGAACCTGGCCTGTCTCTGTGCCTCTGCTTCTCTCTGTCACTGTCTCTCCACACTACTCACTGTGTCTCGAGAGGCCTCATACAGTATATATATTAACAAACACCATTATGTCATCTTAGCAAGATTTGATACAAGGTCAATGGAAAACACAAAGATAAACACAAGTGATATCTAAGAATGACTGTTGTTAGCGGATCTTGTTCTGACTTTAATCATTCTATCTGCACATGAACAGCATGTAATGAAAACCTAGGTCATTAAAGGATGTCATGAATTACTTGCTTAAACATAAAAGTATTAGTTCTATTACAACTCCATTATTTGAACCTGAATGACGAACTCAATCGCAATTAACCTTCGTCCGTCCGTCTGTCCGTCAGTTCATTTTCTTCTGCTTATCTGGGGTCAGGTTGAGGGGGCAGCAGCCTGAAGGCTGAGTCACAGTACAAGATTTTAAAACAGTCGGCCAATTTTCAAAGACTGAGAGAGCCCACATGTGAGGATAAAAAATCATGGATATACCAGGTTTGGTCCTACAGTGCGTGGTGTACAGCCACACGGCAAGAGACAACACACCACACACGGAAATTTCATTCATGACTATTCAAAGATGTCAGCTATTAAATCACACAAGACTTCCTGAAATCCCGTGAGAATTCCGATGTCCGAGGAAAAATCTCACGTGACCTCCAGAGAGACGTGAGTTCAGAGTAAATAAACATTTGCAACAAGGAAGAAACATTGTTGATTGTTTGTGGACTATTTTTACCAGAGGAAAAACAATTCCATAGGACTTTTAACATCCAACAGACTTTCTGGTGAGTTACGACAGTTTTTTGTCTTCTGTATTTTGGAATGCCCTCTGTGTTTACGTCACCTCGCTTTTTGATTGGCTACATATCTCATTCAACAGGCTGAGAGCTCAGGTGAACACTAAACACACTGTGATATCGGGCCAAAAAATCAAACATGTTGAATATCAACGATTTGAGGTCGCAGCGGTCCCGACGTCCTTCCGACCCGACTAGATCACTCTTAACTCACCACCCACGGCGGGAATATCTGCTATGATTATCTTTAGAGCCATCACGATAATCTGGACTTCCTTAAGATTGTTGGAAGGGCAAAAATCTGCATGATTTTCTTGTAGTGTGATGCTGGCCTAAGCAGAGAGACCCAGACTTCCCTCTCCCCAGCCACTTGGGCCAGCTCCTCTGGGGGAATCCCAAGGCATTCCCAGGCCAGCTGAGAAACATAGTCCCTCCAGCGTGTCCTGAGTCTTCCTCTGGGCCTCCTCCCAGTGAGACATGACAGGAACACCTCACCAGGGAGGCGTCCAGGAGGCATCCTACCAGAAGAACCACCTAAACTGGTTCCTGTCAATGTGGAGGAGCAGCGGCTCTACTCCGAGTCCCTCCCGGATGACAGAGCTTCTCACCCTATCTCTAAGGAAGAGCCGAGACACACTGCAAAGGAAACTGATTTCGGCCGCTTTTATTCGCAGTCTCGTTCTTTCGGTGACTACCCAAAGTTCGTGACCATAGATGAGGGAAGGAACATAGACCGACTGGTAAACTGAGAGCTTCACCTTCTGGCTCAGCTCCCGCTTCACCACGACAGACCGGTATAGCGCCCACATCACTGCAGATGCAGCACCAATCTGCCTGTCGATCTCCCGCTCCATTCTTCCCTCATTTGTGAACAAGACCCCAAAAACTTCAACTCCTCCACTTGGGGCAGGACCTCCTCCCCGACCTGGAGAAGGCACTCTACGCTTTTCTGGCTCAAGGCCATGGTCTCGGATTTGGAGGCACTGATCCTCATCCCAGGCTACTTCACACTCAGCTGTGAACCGCTCCAGTGAGAGCTGGAGATCATGATCTGATGAAGCCAATAAGACCACATCATYCGCAAAAAGCAGAGATGTGTTCCTAAGGTCACCAAAAAGGATCCCCTCAACACCTCGGCTGCACCTAGATATTCTGTCCATAAAGGTTATGAACAGAATCGGTGACAAAGGGCAGCCTTGGCGGAGTCCAACTCTCACTGGAAATGAGTCCGACTTACTACCGGTACCACTACTACTACCCCCCCCCCCTTTTTTAAGTTATGAAAAAAAAAACTAATAGGTTTGGGGAAGTACTGCAGGGGGTTTACGAGATTTTATAGAAGGGAATTTATAGACAGCTGAATTCAAAACAAGTTGATTTTCAATAAATAACCTACCAGAAGTTACTACTATTACCACGTAGCTGAATGTTGTCCAGAAAATGGCCCACAGGGTTCCTTTAGGGATAGCAGATGCAGGATCCTGTAAAGAAACAGTGGTGTACAGGTCAGTTTTTCCAACATTCTAGAAAAGGTGTGAGTACCACAATTCTTTGATGAATTTCATACTTTAAGATCCCCACAGATGTTGACTCCAGACAGAATGCCAGTGCAAGCGGGAAAAAACACAGCAAACATTCTGAAAAAATTTCCTTGGGATCCTCTCCAGCTTGGTAATAGGTTGTCCACAAAGATATCAGCTACAGAGAAAAAAAAATGAAATATTGAAGGGAATGTGTGATCAATAAATGGAAGCCTGAATAATATAGCAGAAAACCAGTTGGATGTTATCTTAAAAGCTTTGTTTTTGTCTTCAATCTGCTCCACCAGTGTACAGCCGCAGTCCATAGGCCTCAGAGTAAAATTACCTTCATCTTATCTGAAGCTAAACAAATAATCAGGAGCAGTGTCAGTCCCTGGCTGAATCTAAGAAGAGACTGCATGATTTATCATGAAATCTATGACTTCCCAAACAGTATATTCCTTGCCTTCAGTCCCATGCATTCTGAGCACCCGAATTAAGTGTCTCTTGCTAAAAATTATTCCCCAGTCTATCTGCAAGTGACTGAAATTTGTTATTGTAATTCCTTCCTATATTAGAACAAACAAACAAACAAACAAATAAACAAAAAAATCCAAACTGCTCCGTAAACAATTATCAGTCTTTGCATGGAAATGGCTGCAATAATTATCACATACCCATGCATTATCATGTTATAGCTACATATTATTTGCTCATGACATAACAATGGGCAAGCATTTTTCCTTTAACTTTTTTCCCACAAAGGCTCCACACAAATCTTTTGTTAAAAACATCAATTGTTTATTGTCTATCCACTATCTCATGTCACACTAGCCTTGTTGATCAAAACAGCAAAATGATGGCTTCACGGTAAAAACATAAACATTTTATATTATTGAATGCCCTATTATTTTTACTTGTATGTCTGCATATTTTCTTACACAAATTATGTTATGATGTTTATTAAGTTGCACTACTACATTCTAAATATTTTGTAATATCATTGGTTGATACTTTTAAATTTTAAAAGTGCATAAAATGTGTTGAAGTAGTTAGGTACACAGACAATTTGAAAAGTCCTAATCCTCACTGAATTCAGACTCCTTGCAACCAGCATGCCCTGCAAGTTTTGGAAAATTACAATCATTTTAAGTGTCACAAGACATTCTGAAGACTTCTTTGTAAATGTTGTATACCATGGCCATTCAACTAGTGACTTCAATCCAAACCACTGAAAAATTATTTAAAAAAAAGAATATTGTATTTTTTAGAACTTATTGGCATTGAAGAAGGAGCACCACTTAAATGAGGATGCCCAACATTACATAACTTATCTTATAACTTATCTTTTTTATTATATATAATATACAAATATTTTAAATTAGTGTTAAATTAAATTTAATAAAGCTAAATAAATAAATGTAAAAAGTAAAAGAAAGTAATACTTGTTCTTTTACATAATGCAGTGTTTCCCCTACAATTGTTAAGCGAACTGCCCACGCCCCGCATTGGCCCCTCAGCTGTTGGCCTTGAGTTATTGTGCCCCCCTGAAAAGCACTGCTGTACACCAACTAGTAGCAGCCCAGAGGAACTACCTCTAGAGACATTGTAAAATATAGGTTTAGGTGTTTGAAAATACTTCATTAAGTAAAAAAGAAAAAAGAGAACCAGTTTTACCTATTCTAAACAGTACCTAAAAATTTCATCCAAAATAGTAAATTTATGGAAATTACATTTTACATTTGTGGAGGGAAAGGTGAGGATTAAAATGTGTCCATTTTATCTATTTTGATTCAAAAATAAGGATGCAGGGGAATGTTTAAAGCAAAATGATCTTAACATTTTATGTTTTGAATTTTTTTGTCTGCATATTACACATGAAGCCTCAACTGTTACTGACCATGAATTTTCCTTCTTTTTAAATTTACACACACATAAAAGCCATTACCTGTTTATGTTAGCAACCAGAGTTAAATGAAAGAGGGGGTGTTATGTATTTTCCAGGCACAGTTTAATTCTATAGCACAATCAAGTAACTATGTCACTTTCAGTTGTTATAAAAAAAAGCTGCATTTATTTGCATTGAAGCCTATCTAAATGCTTTGAAGTTGACATCTGTCTCCTTAAGAGCCTCCTGCCATTTCAGACACTCCCATTTCAGCACATCTTCACGAGAATGCTTCAGGAAAGGGGTGCTCTCTGGGGTGGGAGCTCGGCTACAKACTGAGCTCTAGAGAGGAGCTTTGTACAAACAGGAAGTGCTTTGTACCAGCAWGCATTTAGGCAGCTCCACATGATTACCACAGGAGATTCAAGGATTTCTYAAACATGGATGGATGGGTCAAAGCAACTCTCTGTGTATGTTTTTGATGAGGAAGTGATATTATAACAAGATAAAGCTCAATTAATCAGATTTTATGTAATAAAAAAGTTTAAAGTTCAAATAAAGCTAAAAGGATAAAAGACATTAAATTAATACACGTTTCATAAATGTTAAGTTAAAAGCAGTTATTTACCTCTGTATCCAAATATGCCCAATGCTTGTTTTGAAACAGGAGGAGAGATTAAAGTGCCCACAAAGTAGTTTACAAGGGAGAGTAAAAGAAAAAAAAAGAAAATCATCTGGGCCTGAAACATAAACAAACACATGGTTATAAAATCTTTTTGTAGCTATACAAAAAATACAGAATGGTACCAATAATTGGTAGAAATAAAGCATGTTAAATACCAGGTATTTGTACAGATGTTTTTCAAAAGCTAAAGTGTCAGTCCAACAAGAGACATAAATTTATTTTTCTGTTTTAAAAAAGTTTAAAAGAGATGTTTTTGCAAGTGTTCAATAAAAGGCATCACAAAATTAAATTATAAAATAACAGACTGAAATATACATACATATTAGGGGTGTGATGATACAGGAAATTGACAATTCGGGTCGGTTTGATACTTTAGTATCACGGTTCAATATGTTTTCGATACATAAAAATACATTTTCAATGCCCTTCTTATCTTGYAATTTATGGAAATTATAAGGATGAACATTTGATTAACCTGAAAAGTACAGTTTTTAAATTAAATGTTGCTGAAACAACAACTTTCTCAGTGGATCTGCGCTCGACAATGCAGCCTAGGTGGAATCCACAGATCCACTGATCCTTCAACACAGAGCATCTTCAGAAGACAAGTTGATCAAATATGTTTAATGTAATTCACATGAAAAAACTACTAAAGCCTTCGCAATTTTCTTAAAATTGTACAAAAAATTATTCAAAGCTTTGAGGCTTCAGCCATAACATCCTCAGAGCAGGACTGAAAAAAGTTAATTAAAAATAAAACAAATGAATCATGTTTTGTTCATTTGTACAAAATGATTAAAATTTATTCTGTTTTGTGCAAGCCCTTTAAGGTTATCGCTAGTGGGATGATCCCTTTGCCCGCAGCATGGTACTGAAACCTTTAATCCATGCCCACCTGCTGTATAATTTACTTTGAGATCTTGCATAAAAATAAAATTCTGCCTGGAGCTTGTGTAACCTACAGAACTGTTTTTAATGCAAAGCCTGCAAGATCAAAATGACTTCATTTTTGTCATGCAGCTGCTATGAGAACAGACTTTTGGACTGTATATATAACTTAGAGTAATTGGTTTGGGCTTAAGAGATGAATGAACAAATTGGCAGGCCGAACTTTGGTCACTCACGGGCGGATGTGGCCCACAGGCCGCCACTTGAAAAGCCCTGGTATATATCATCCTTTAAAGAAAACCCGTAGAACAGTTGATGAAAAGATGAGTGGAAATCAGAGGCAAAAAGAAAGGGGGTCTACAGAAATGTGCTCACCTTGTACTCCCACTCCATTCCAGCCAGTGTAATAAACAGAAGTATGGTCACAGTGATCGCACCAATGATACGAACATCGTCCGATGGATTGACAATGGTCACATTGAAACTCTACATTAATCAATCAGATTGGCCATAGGAATATAATTGGTTATTTTTATTGTTAAAATGAATAAAACAGTAACAAAATACATTAGAATATTTATGAGAACTGACATAGCCTTACACAAACTGTAACTGTACTCGTAAAATAGTAAGATGATGCTAAACAACACACAGTATTCAATTCAATGTAATAGCAATAATTATTTTACATTTAAAATAACAAGTATTCAAACTTTCTAAAAATATATACTGTATATACAAATACGTACCTGCATTAAATCGCGAATAACCTGTGAGCAGCCAACAGTATTGAGTGCAATAGCCAGTGCATTGCCAAAGGCGTAAAGCAACCCGATGGCTCCTCCAATTTCAGGACCCAGAGATCTGGAGATCATTAAATATGCCCCACCTTAAAAACATTTACACATAAAGCAGTTATTAAAAACGCTAACAAACATAAAAACACACGAAGACCCACAAAAATGTACTTTACTTAAACAAAATGTATTCCGTTCAAATGTCTCTCGGATAGTTCAAGAACTGCTTCATTTTGCATGAATAATCATAACCCTGAACTTTACATGTGACTTTTTGTGTTTTTACTTCAGGCAGTTGTATTATAACTTTTTAGAAAGCCTCACCTGAGACCACCCGCCCATTGGTGGAAATGGCAGAAATTGATAACGCAGTTGGAATCGTCACCATAATAGCCATGACGATTATAACAAGYGACAACACTGCAAAAAACAAAATCAAAATATCATACAAGTAAGATTTACTTGTGCATTTTAGTTGAGCGTAGTTTAAGTMACCACAAACCAAAATGAGAGTCCAAAACAAAATGGAGAAATCCCATGGAACAATGCAGAGTTATTTGAAAAATTCTCTATGTAACAAAATTATTTACTAGAAAAATCTCTGTGAGTTTAGTTGTTTCAAATACGCTTACTCAGGCACAACCAAAGAAACCAGTGGGGRCTATGCCTCCCTGTAACTTTGCTGTTCTCCTAGCCTAAATCTCTTAGCTACATTTAGTCTGTATTAGCAATATACTCTTAGAACCAAGGGGACATATTTTATTAAAATATATTAACTTCTGGAGTCAACCTGATTCAAAWTGGTGCTAATCTACATTGGCCTTCCAAAGTAGAGGTCTTTTCATGAGTTCCTAAACTGATTTGTTAAGAGGACAGTATTATGTATTTGTATCATAGCCTATCTAAATAMCTTGAAATTGGCCTCTGTATCTTTAAGAACCTCCCATCATTTCTAAAGCTGGAAAAATACTCCTTGCGAACTGCCGACGTCGGCACGGTTTGTCGTAGTTTAATGACGAAAATTACGTCACCGGGCTTCGCAACGTAGTGTTGACAGCCCCTTTTGGCACAAGCCCCCGGCAGAACTTTTTGACCCCCCTCCCTTGTCGACGGTAAAGTGTGATTGGTCTGAACTGAAAGCACTTGGACGGACACAGCAGAAGAAAAAAACAAAAACTCGCTTCTGACTAGAACAGACGGTTTTGAGCAGTTTTAAAGATAGACAAACCGAGAAAAACTCATGTGTGTTTGTACTGACAGCGCTGTGCGCTGCATTTACTTCAACCACTCGGTTAAAAAAAAGGAAAAAACAAAAACGACTCGCTCCCCGAGCCGACCAGGAAGCAGAGTTTTATAAAGATAGTCAAACCATGAAAAACTCATGAATGGAGGTAAACAGACATAACAGATAAACAGGCACGGAGGAATCTGAAACTGTGGAGTGTTTTAACCAGGACAGATGTGGATAAAAATCTGTCAGGTGAGTGACTTTTTCTGCATTGCTGTTRAGGGGAGAAATTCCATGCAGTGACGTATGGTTCAGCGGGAGGGAGGGGTTCCCCCGAGCTCGGAGCAGTGTGCAGGAACTAGGAAAGGTCTGTGTGAAAATGACTGCCGAACAACCACGTGACTGCGTGTCGACCCGTCGGCGTCGGAGCGAGTATATTTCCAGTCTAACACTCCCACTTCAGCATATTTTCTCAACAATGCTTCAGGGGAGGTGTACTCTGAGGAGTGGGAGCTTGGCTGCAGACTGAGCTCCTGGGAGAAGCTAAGTACAAACAGGCAGTGGTTTGTACCATTCAAGTATTTCTTAAACATGCATGAATGAGTGAAAGCAACACTCTGGGTATGTTTTGATGAGGAAATGACATTTTAACTTGATATAAAGCTCAAAGAATTTGCATAATACCCCATCCCCCTGAACATTGTCCTCGCTCTTATCATTTCTTGTGGCAACACTACTATCAGTCAATGTCAAGTAATAGCTGAAGATAAGAAGCCATAAATATGCCTGCTGTTTAAAGGAACCCAATGGTATTTAACTGAATGCATGAAAAATAAATGAAAAGATGACTTACCAATGCCTGCCTGAGAGGTGATCACGGTCAGACGGAGGTACATGATGATCCCCCAAATATTCAGCATGCAACGAATCTGGGACCAAAGTTATAAAGTGAAGTTAGCTGTGATGGTGAAGTGATAGCTACAAACTAATACATTATTAATTTAATGAAGCCTTTATCTACACATTAGTCAGTTGTGAACCAATTCTAATTTACAATATTTATCTGGACAAGACGCAGCAAAATAACACCAGATGTCATAGATCCACCAGATCAACGACAACAGTAAAAACACAACACAAACAGCACAAAGCAACGCATACTGTATAAAACATACTACACATAATAAAAACATAAAAAATAAAATGAAACTAAACAAAGAGTAAACCTGTAATACTGAATGCATAGAACTTTTAAAAGAGGAGAGTCAGTGAAATAAATTTTAAGGTCCATTGCAATTGGTTCCAGTCATCTGTGGCAAAAAAAACAACCTGAAATGGGGAGCAAGCAAAGGAAGTATGAAATTTTGGTATGGGGAGATTGATGAGGTCACTAGAACATGAAGTGTGAATTGGTTTATGAATGGTAATGGACTGTAGCCAGGTAACGTGGAGTTTTTCCAATGAGGATTTTTGTACATAGACATAAACCWGTGGCTTTGTCTGCGAGAATGAAGAGATGGACAGCTTATCAGGGAGATGTGACACAGAGGTGTGTTTTAAAYGAAGCATCAGTTACAAATCAGATAGCAGCATGATAAAAAGCATCTACAGTAGTTTGTGAAGAAGGATTTCAGACACAGACTTGTAAACCACAACACCATAATCCATATTTGGAAGTACTGTCCTTTTAACCAGAAACTGTTAGGCAGAGTGAATGAAAGATTTATTGTGGTAAAGGAAACCAATGCAGTATGTAACCTTTGACTGCAGGACATTTATGTGGGTTTCAAATGTGAGATTGTTGTCAAGCCAAATACCAAGGTGCTGTAGCTTTTGACTAAATGAATCTCGGTCCCATTCGAGGAAGAAATTTAAAAGGGACTCTTGATTTTTTATTAAAAACATTAATTTCAAAACCAACAGACTAGTGAAAGCCTGTTGTTTTGAAGTGAAACTAGCCTGCAGTGAAGACAGAGCTGTAGTCAGGGAAGGAACAGTGGTGTAGATGATGGTATCGTCGACATATACATGAACAAAACAGTTACCTACTGCAAGACAAATGTTATCGATGGAAACATTGAAAAGAAAAGGCAGCAGAATGCTTCCTTGTGGGAATGTGATTTTGCAGAATGATAGTATTTAAAGATTATTAAAGTAATAAATAAATCAAAAATCACCTTTACTCCAACTATCCAGCCAAATCTAATTGGTGCTTTCTTCGGGGGACCTTGAGGCTCTTCATTGTCAAGATCTGGTTCTGGCAGACTGCTCGAGTCTGAGTAGACACCATCCATTTCCACCAGCTGTCATGAGAAATTTTGTAACAGTTAAGTCTAAAAATTGTTCAGATTTAGATTAGTTAATAAATTTGAACAAGAAACAGTCATATAATTGTTTAACATAACCATAGAGAAATAGTTGTTGATGCTGTCCAACAACACTTATAAGCTTCACAGCTCTCATGCTCGCATGTTATAATAAAATCATTTGTAGAGGTAAATAGATTTCCTAAACCGTTACTTGGAATCTGTAAGCATACTCCAGTCCAATCATATTTGCTTATATTTATTTTCACAGTTTAATACTTACTGACTCATAAATATTCACAATTGTACAATAAAAAACTTTAACTATCTCAATAAAAGTACTCCCAATTTTAATAAAACTACTGATAAAATATTAAACACCACTTGCTTCAGATGTTTTGCGGAGCGTCTCAAGGGTCGGTCTGTTTTTGTTTGTCTGACGTGGAAGGGTATTGGCATAATTTCCCAACTGGGGCCCTTGGTCCATGGTGCTGTAGACAGAGGCTCTGCGCAACTCTGCCCTGGAGCCGTGGCGCTGAGAGGAACTGCTGGTAACAAGCAGAAAGCAACAAGTTCATTTTAAACAACTTAACAAATAGCAGCAAAACCATGCAATAGCAAAGGCAGCATTWGTTTTGTTTCTGTAAAAATTTACTTATTTATTAAAAACTTGTAAATTGAAGAAGCATCCAAAAGCATCCAAACCAATGTCAAGTGATGGGGCACATGACCCTCTATGACCAATAGAGCTAATCAAGCCTATTGTTAGGCAATGGCCCTCTTTTGCATGTGACTTACCTGTTTGTCCACAATTTGGGTGCAGTGCTTATAAGCCTGAAACTCATCAGACTGAAGAAGTCTCTTGGAGGAGAGACGAAATGTTTCACTAAAGAAGAACCCATCCAGAGAACCTACTTATTTTTTTCTTTTTGATTTTTAACTTTGGCAAAACCAATTTCAACAATGCAGCAGTACTAAAAGCTACAAAGATGAATTGATCTTGGCCATATGTAAATAAAAAGAAAAAATAACATAAGGCTCATTTTTTGACTTGCATACTTTTTACTGGAGAGGTTTCTGACAACAAATCGTTTTAGAAGAAAAGGAGTTTTGTCATTGTTTTTTTTATAAATTATGATTTTAATTTGATTCAAATCTTAGTAAAAGGGGCAGAAGAGAAGTGTACTATCAAAACTAACTATAACTTCGTGTTATTACAAGTGTGTGACTCAGTCTATGTTCAAAATGTTCACTTGTTAGGGCCACTGTTTCAAATAGACAAAACTGGATGTGGCAGAACTAAGGTTGTTGGGAGTGACACTGGTTAACCTTAAAATCTAATGAAGGTGATATGGCTGATACAAACCTCGACTCTTCATCGGAGACAACAATGGTTGGAGGAATTCGAAGRTCATGGTTTCGATTTAAGGTGCTATCAAAGTGGTGTGACGAGTACCTGGGTGGGCCTTCTTCGTTGGTTGAGAAACGGACATCTTGGTTTGGTTTACCTTTAGCTGCAAACTGCCCCATTGGCACGTCCTCCTGGTAATAATACACAGAAGCATTAACATCAGTTTGATAAGTATSCACTTTTATAATTATCCAGCACATTATTTTTGTAGGGTTGGAAAGTGGTGTACATTAAGTGAGAGAAAATTCAAATTACATGAGGAAAATAATTAAGCTCTTTTGAGGCACCTTACAAGTCAAATCAGGATATTCATATTATTAAAAGCAACAATAAAATTATTTGAAAAAGTTTGTTTTGATGCAAAACAAATAGAAACTTTCCACTGACAGATGACAATGTACCATAATTTCCAGACTGTAAGCTGCTAATTCCTTGCCATGCTTTGAACACTGTGCTTTAACCAAAAATGCAGCTAATTTATAATTATTTACTGTACAGAGTTTAACAAGATGTGGGGATGGCACGATTGAGAACGACACCGAAAGAGAGACCGAAGAAGAAACTTTGAGGTTGTTCAACTCCGACGCTGGAAAATACCATTTTCAAGGTGTTGGGATTGCCACCGACCTCRTTTTGTTTTGAAAAGCACAAAAGAACCACATATTATTTTCTTATTGCAGCAAAGCTTTTTGATTAGTCAGGAAACTCTCTCTAGACAAAAAAATTGAATTAGTTTTAAAATACTGTAGTGAAAATATGACCTATAGTAAATGGTGCTGTGTTCTGTTTTGACCCCATTTTTAATAAAAAGTTAATAAAACGATCATTTATGTCAAAATTCATATCATATAGCCAGCTCTTCTCCCAAACCTAAAAAGTCCTTTGGGKTTTTTTAGTTCACCTATCTGTAAACTGAAGGACCTGCCCAGATGTGCTTGTCATGCATTCAAAATTCAGATCATTTGAAGAATTCCCATCTCCAGTTTGTTTTGTGCTAAATAAAAAGACAATTTACAATAAGTGAAGTTCTAGAACAGTTTTTGATGAAAATGAGGTGGATGGTATAGTAGCATAGTGATTGAGAAGAGCAGGATTTTTAGGATGAGGATGATGTTGAATACCAGAGGACACAGACACAACTGACCAGGACTTCACTGATGCTAAAACTGATCCTGTTCCTACAGAAACCTTCAACTCCAAGAGTAGAAACAGCTGTTGGAACTCAATATCTCCTGATGTACACGGCAGGCTGGCTTTGATTTGTTCTTGCCATCTCCACTTAAAAATATTGTCATTTCAATGGCAAAACTAAAAAGGCCAAAAAGTCCATGGTCAAGTGGATTGGCATTKTCAAGGGCCTGGATGTATTTACTGGTCTTCATCTTCTGGCTGGAGTGTGCAKATCCTTCACTGAGGTCACTGAACCCATCATCTGGCAGAAGTAGTTTTTGGGCAACAATATCACTTCAGACCTTTCTRAAGATCTCACAAGTCCCCAGATTGCACCTGAAGGACTTGTCGCCAAACTCTCCAAGGTCTACTTTCACAGAAACTACTGCCGTTGTTTCATATTGTAAAAAAAAGCCTCCATGAGTGATACTTATGTCCGTGTTTCACCACAATGTACTTGTGTCATCACAAAGTGCATTTCACCTGCCATCACTGCCTCAGAATCAACCGTAAGAGCCACACGTTCCTGGTTTTAAAAGAGGCATCAGGTCTGCTCCACAAATGACAGAAAAACTAACACTCTGTGCTTCAGCTGCAAACAATATCTCTTCAAAGGTCATGAAAAACTGTTGTTTTTGCCACACATAGGTTAAAGCAAACTTGCACGTTCTTGCAAAAAATGTCATTTTGTGGAAATTGAACTTGTTTGTTCAGTTTTCTCAATCGATTGTTGTTTGTTCGACCATCCTTATTTTGTATTATTACACGTGCTACTTAACATTTTGTATTTGTATTTAAAATTCTGAGACAAAAAGCTTTTTGTTTCTTGAAGTKTAAGGGTCGATTTTGACCCTAACACCATATAAGTTATTCTAGTTAATAGCATTTTTTAAAATAATAATAAAACTAATTTATTCATAAGATGTGCTCTTATAC